TAAAGAACTCTTCATATTTTAAAAATGAAAGCTTTCTATTTTAAAAACTAAGCTAATTGGCTTGTGTGTATATGTAAGGCATTGACGTTAGAACCTTTTTTTTTTAGCAATATCATGTTTACATATAACTGCAAGCATGCCAATGTTAGCAGAAGCCAAAAGAAGTGAGTTTTCAATAGTTCTGTGAAAGCTAGTCAGGATCAAAATGGAGCATTTGTATCAACACCATCAAAACCAAATGAAGTCAAAGGTTATGAAAGGTTCTCTCTCTTGATTGTCCATGACTACTATTATTATTCCCACAGAAGACTTGAACAGAAGCTTAACCTTACAAAGGGCCACCTTAGCCTCATACAAAATTACTTCATCAAGAATATCTGTCCAGCAGCTCTCACCAATTCTCAGACTAACATCACTCTCCTTATTAATGACTCTGCTCAAGGACCACTGTCTCAAAATATTTTATATACTCCAGCTCATTTTTGCCTTGCCTCAGTTTGTTTAAGTACAATCTGTTGATGACTGTTGATAACTCGATACAGTACAATGAAATTACTCTTTGGTTATTAGCCTGGCAATCCATACTGCTACAACTTAGAAAACCTCTTGCTATTCCACATCCATTTCAAATTTATCAGTGAATTCCTTACCCTTGTAATATCAATATGAGTCAATAGTATATTCACTAGACTCTCAGCATGGTCAAAATACATTAATAAAACCAATTATGAATAAAAATGAAGCAAAGAAAAATAGATGTACATATTAGTTATTGTCCCAGTTAGTGTTCAAATTTCTAAATCAATCACAGAATTTTTTGTTTTCTCAAGTTTTTGTCACTCAACACTGACCATCTTTTTAAATCCCCTTATTTGTATCATTTATCAATCTTCAGTATCAGTTGTACAATATATCGAGAGGTATGAAATGTGAACAAGTGATTTACTATGTTCCCAAACTACTAAAAACATATTTAGTACTCTCCAAAACAGCAAAGAGTGTCACTGGTGCATTCGAATACTTTGCAAATGATAAAAACACTAAGATATCTCAAAAGGTCTTTCCTAAAAGTCTCCATGGATTTGCTTTATCTGTTTGCAAAATCAATTATAAATAGATACATCACAGCTGACTGTATTGAACAAGGTGAAATTCAGAAATGAATATTAAACTATTCTTGGCCATAAAGTGGGGCGTTCACTATCCATTCCCAGCACAGGTCTTGATTCATAATCTTTCCTGGCCTCTTCACTCTGCTATTTTCCAGGTGTTCTCTTTGGTGTCTTTCATCACATTTAATCTTCCTTTCTCAGCTACTCAGAATGCAAAAACGCTATGTGGCCTTATTAAAGCTGACTACTGAATAAAGTGTTAGGGGAAACTTAATTGGCTTGCCAAGGAGGTCTGTTTGGAATAACATTTGATATGAATTTTGTGCATATTAGCCTGAGCAAAGAAATAAAGAACAGTGCTGCAGAAATCATAAAACATTACTGAAGCAGGGCACACATCATGCTGTACAATGTGCCTCGGCTTTGCCCACAAGATACACAACAAGGTGCAGTGATGTATTGCCCGAGGAAAACTACCATTTGGCATGCTAATTAAACAGAGGACAAGGCACTTGGTTCTGCATCCACCCAGCATAAACTTTGACTTGGAAACAATTAAGCATGCTTATGAATCCAGAACACTAGAAAACTAAATGAAGCCCTAAATCATAGAAGCCCTAAAGACTTCAGGGAAGGCATACTTATTAGCCAGATCCAAAGTGCATGTCTGAGTATTCCTAAGAAGAGGATAGTAACAGTCTAATAAGATTTCATATTAAATGCTTTAAAGCATTGAAGTTGAAATATTAGATCACAGAACTTTATCATTTGAAAATAAGATGTTCCTGAAGGTAAGGTGTATCCCCTTTATTTGTACTTGCAAGGCAGTCAGTCATTCTATCATGAACTTAAACACAGATCCTGAAAGTCAACCTCAGTGTCTCGATCTGCCAGAGATACATACAATTTTATTCCTAGCAAGGACACTCTAACAGTGTCTGAGGTAACAAAGTGTGATCTGCTTCTCCTCTGTTGTCATTACTCACACAGAACATGTCCTTCCCCACAGCCAGTTACAGGTTCCCAACATCACCTCTTTATTTTTTCTGTGTAAATGAAAGGAAAACAGGATTCTGTCTATACTACTGCCCATCTGCTGTCTTAGATTCATGGCTTCCCAGATCAGAGCCAGTGAAGTCTCACAGGTACAGACTACAAATGACACATTCTACCTTTACATCAATAAAGGTAAGTTTATGTGCAACAGAAAACAGTGTGGCCATTGAATATAGCTGAAAATATGTTCATGAACTCGGTTTTCTTATGTCAAATAATGTATCTGATTCTAAAGTTGACCTTTAATCCTCTACTGCCCTCCTCCTTTGGAGTTGTTTATAGATAGACGATAAGTAACCACTAGACACATATCATGCCACTCAATAGACTAAAATGAATAGAACTCAAGAGTGTGGCCTGATCTTTCTGATTTCAAAGCCAACTCATTTGTTGACTTGTTGATTTTTCAAACCATTTATCCAATCCAGAGGCCCCTATTGTGAATTTAAACAAACAATTGTTTACCATAAGAGGTATTATTCTAATGTGTTGGTTGTGACTAGTAAACAATAGTAAGTAGTTACACAATATATTTTGAATTTACTCCTATAAAAGAATACCTGCAAAAGAACTATTTAAATTGTAAAGATAATTATGCACCTCATGAGGACCATTTCAGAAAAAAAGACAAAGAAGGGCGCATTGCCAATTGTTAGGAAGTAGACATTCTTGGACCACTGATCACAGCATATGTATTGTAACTTGAATAAAAAATTTCATGTCACTAAATCATGTCATTTTGTGCTCACATTTACTTCAACTTCAAATAAATGTTCGTTGATGATAACATTTTTAGTGCTGTGTGGTTTTGGGCTAAATCTTAAAAGAGGCTAAAGTATAAATGTTTGATTTTCTCATTATGTCTCTTGATAAGGAGTTCTTTTTCAAGAGCTGATTTCTACTGCATCATCCCAAAATTCCTAGAAACCCTATTCTCATCAGCTACACATCTGACTCTGCACTGGCCAAAGCAAGATGTGACCTGCCATTGACAAAGCAGCCCTCTGCTGCCCTCCACACCAAGCCAGATGTTCCTGTCAGTCTTCCTCCTTCCACAGATTCACTAGCATAGCAACAGCCCACTCCATGATTCCAAAGTTCCAATGTCTGTCTTAGTTACTTTCTTATCACTGTGATAAGACATCTCGATGAAGGCAACTTACAGAGGCAAGTATTTACTGGAGACTTACAGTTTCAGAGGGTTAGAGTGTGTGACCATCATTGCAGGATAGCAGGGAGTGTGTCATCAGGCGAGCAGGCAGGACTCTCCAGCAGTAACTAAGAGCGTCCTGATTCACAAACAGGAAGAAGAAAGAGCTAACTGGGAATGACATGGATTTTTGAAACATCAGCGCCCACCCCCAGCAATACACCTCCTCCAACAAGATCCCACCACTCATTCCTCCGGGCCAAACAATTCCATTGACTGGGGACCAAGTATTCATATACAAGTCTTGGGGGGGGGGGCATTCTGATTCAAACCACCACATGGCCCAATGACAAGAGGTTATTTAAGGCAAATAGCAGCTAGGGTTATAGATGATGTTCAGGGACCCAAGACTCTTATTTATCACCTAATATGGATATGATCTCTCTAATTCTGGGTTGATTTACTTTCCATCGATAGCCCCTATAAAGGAAGCTCAGGGAGGTTTCTCTATGGAATTATGTGTCTACCTCTGAATAAAGGGTTGCTTTATTAGGAAAGCCTTACCATTGTCTCAACTCTTAAGGGTATCTAGGTGCTCTGAGGATCAACAAAGAGCTGGAGTTAACATAGGAGATAAAGAGAACCAGGGAAGAACTCAGGGGTGGAGGAGATTTGCACATCAGACAGAGAAGAGCAGACAGCTGCTGTCCAGTTTATAGAAGCACTTCAATCGTATTCTATACACTTAGTCAAAAACAAATGGTAAGTGTATGGTGATGTAACTCAGTGAAGATCACTTGCCTAGCATTCCTAAGACACAGGGTTCAAACCAGCAATACAAAGAAAAAATTAAAAATAGGGCATGATGGTGTGGCTTCTACTTACTCATCCATGATATGATGAGAATTCTGACATCCCTATGTGTGGCATTCATTATTTTCCTTCAGAGTCCTTAACTCGCAATCTTTGCATTGCTTTCTACACATCCTACATCTGTCATGCTACCTGCTCTAAAATTGAGGTTATACATAATTACATGCCTAGATAATTGCCTGTTTTCAGCATCTACACCTGTTAGGTCACTTATATCACCAGATAAGCAGAGGGCCTAACACATAGGTGCTGTGAAAGAAGTACATTGTAAATAACTCAGTAGTGAGACAGGTGGAAAAGATGGCACTATCACTCTGCAATGATGCAGGTCCCATAAAGTACTGTGTACCACATCCTAGGCTGTCAGTAGGCTCAACCATTTTAACACTTTCCCATCAGCAGGAAGAGATGGGATAGAACCAGGGTAGTCAGGCAGAAAGTGCTCTCATGGCTCATCCTGGCTTCACGGCCATGCTAAGTTCATTTCAAACATTTTATAATTGTTTCTATGTAGTATCCTTTTCTGTTTTGGGGTCTCTGCAACTTACACATCCATACTATCAGGTTGTGTAATAAAGTTATATGACTTATAAATTTTCAAATTTGATAACATACAGTTTTGAAAGCATTTTTTCTGGGTACTTAACAGCAATTATCCCCTTTCAGGAAACAATAAACAATCCCAGTTTGGCCATTTATGAATAATGTTTTATTCATTTGTATCTCATTCTAATTTTTATTATATGTAATTTTATTCAAGAGAAATAATTGGTAAATCACAATTCTCAAGCATCAACTGATATGTTAATTCATACAAAAAAAAGCTGTCCAAACAGTAGTAGTATCACCCATGATCATTAAGAGTCACACAAACTACACAGCATAATGAGCATAAAACAATGGTGCTGATTATAGACCTGTACCTGGTGGGGAACACCCTGCACCTGGTGGTGAACATTCACCCTCCACACCTTCTACACACATGGAAAACCCATTACCTCAGAAGAAACTGCAGTAAATCAGACCTACAACTCAACCATAATTCTAATTATAATCCTGATCAAGTTCCCTAATCCATACATAACAGGTGAAGCAGAATTCCATTTATAACCAAAACTTAAAACAAAAATAAATGAAGAGTTCCTTGGAGAACATTTTTCCTAATTAATAAAATCTACTTTGGATCCCAGACACACATTCTAGGGCCTTGATCCTCCCATATTCTTCTTTGAAGTATTACATTTTAAAAATACTCCTATATTTATTATGCCATAACACCTGGCTTTATTTTTCCATATTGTTATTTAGTTTTTGTCCACATTCAAACTCATTTCATAGCTGTAGACATAGAGAGATCAATATTTTGTGAATTGTATCTTCCATTCATTATTATACTTGTCATTTTCTTCTAATGATCTCTACAATACTACATCCCATAGTTGCCTAATCCTACCTGGTTTCTGTTATCATATCTATACTGACAAACATTTGGAGCAGGTGCATTTATTTTCTTTATTAAATATAACTTTACATATAAAATTTGCCTTCACTAGGTTTACCCTTTGGTATAGAGAAATAAGAATCAAAGAGTTAGAATATTTTAATGTTTCTTTCTCTGTTTGAATTACTTTACAGAAATGTTGGATCAATTTACATTGTTCTGACACTCTGTGAGCAATATCAGCAGTACCGACACTGTACTTTTCTGTTAGACATCACTCAGTATCTTGTCACTAATTATAAGTGAGACTGAGCATTGTTCTGTGTTTGCACTCCAGGTTCACCTGAGCTGTTTATTCACAATCTTAATGCTTATGCTGTGTTATTTTGTAAAAAGATCTTTTAATGAGCTACTTGAAGTCTAGAGAATAAGTCTCCTGACCTGACCAAAAGGCAATAGAAACAAAATTGGCACAAGCTTCCCATGTTAACTTAGAGAAAGTGGCTTCTACCAGAGCCACATTAACAGACAAGCAATCCCTGAGAGAAAATAGTAACTGCTTAACATAGACTTCAGATGGAAATAAGAAGAAGATATATGATTAGAGGTTTGATGCCCACAATTCACTAGGAGGTTGTTAATTACGATTTTAAATCAGTAAGTATTTTTCAAACAAATGCAAGGGTCAATTACCAATTACAAAAGAAGTAAAATACAACGAAGCATCCAAAGAAGTGTGTGTGGTAGTGTCACATCATTAATTACACACAACACAGTCTGATTTATGTATGTCCAGCACTGACTGAAAAATAAAGATTAAAATAATTTGGAGCATGCATTTCTGTTACTTGACATCACAGAGAAGGGCAACCCCACGGAGAACCCAATGTTCAGGAGCCTGGATTGTCTTGAGGTTCACAGAAGCAATGTAGTTCAAGTCTGTTCGAACTGGCTTCTTGTAGATGGGGCAGCAATACAACCGAGGATCTCTTGCAGCTACAAAACACAATTCATAGCAGAAAATAATTTGATGAATTTTAAGTGAAGCATTTCAGAACATAGAGCCAAGCTTGTATATTCTGGAAGTAATTCCAAAGATAGATAAGGTTAATAGAATGGAAAATTACATTCTGTGATTGTAGGATCTCTGCATATGGCGAACACTATCACACCAGCTACAGCAAAACATTCAGCCTCACTTTGGCCTCATTAGTCTCTTACCCATGACCTTGACAACAACTTCCACTCATATTCTTCCTCTTTCTCTCCACATATGAATTTGGCTTTCCTTTCTACTCATTACTTTTGACCTCAACTACTCAAGTCTTGGGAGTCTACTTCCTCTTGCTTCACTACCATGTCTTGTGTTTGGCACAAGGATCCATTCACTTTTAATCACCTTGTATAGCATTTACTTTATCATCATCAGTTATTTACAATCTCATTTTCAACCTTCTGCACTATAGTTTTCAACACATTTAAATCACAAGAGACGAAATACACACAGCCAAACAAAGTGTTGTGAATTTCCTTTATAAGCAAAGGACTAAAAATAGCTGGGAAATGGAGAAACAGCCATGGCCATTGAGATTCTCTCCCTAGAGAGAACTGGGAAACAAAGTCTGTGAGATTCAGTTCTCCCTTTTAGAGTAGAGGGCTAAATGCAACTCCAAAAAACAGCTAGTATATATGAAGTCTTAGTGCATACATTCACCCTTCAAAGATCCTCCATAAATCATCCACAGGCTCTCTTTTCCTCCAGCCTTAGACAGCCAATGATCAGAAACAGAGCCAAGTTAGAGTAGCACTAAACTTACACTAGTTATGCCAGCCCTCTTTAAGGAAAAATATGAACATTTACAGATATTAATTTGACATGGGAGCAGCCTGGAAATTCAAGCTCCATTAGCTTCTTATAAAACTGACTCTGCCCACAACAGTTTATCTTCAGTCTGTCTAACTTCCATCTCAGAAGGCAGTTTGTTCTTCTGTGTATTCTTTTATACTGTAAAATCTTTGCAAACAAAAGATCGCACCCACATCAATCCCTGTACTGCTCTGGAAAGCACATGGAACATTGTGTGCAACCCTCATAAGACTACTGAGATGGAACTACATGTCATTACAAGTGCAGCTTGACTTAGTGCATTAATTTCATGACCAGGCACTGAAATGGTTCTCACTTCCCTAACAAACTACAAAAGCAAGGTACTAGCAGAAGTTAAAATCTTATTACTAACTCAACAGAAACTTCATCAAGCTACTTTTAAATATCCACTATAAATTACCTTGAGGAATTACTAACATTTTATTATATTTAGTGTATGTCTCATAAGTATCCTAAGGTAGTGACTCAGAACCAGAGGTGATCCTACTTTTAGCAGACAGATGGGACATTTAGGGTTATTACAACTAGGGACTTAATCAGTATCTAGTGAGTAGATGCTGGGATGCTGCAAACATTCAATAATTTTGAGAATAATGCCCTATAATGGAGTTATCCAGACCAGAAGCATATGTGGTGTCAAGGCTGACAGACCTTGTGCTAGAAAATCAAAGTCGTGGGAGTTACAGTGTTTAAAAGGCCTTCATGGACTTAATTTCATGAAAGTCATCATTAGAAATAGTCAAAAATAATATAATATCTAATTCTCAAATTCTTCAGCTACTATTGGGATAGCACTAAGTGCACTAATTGGGCAGACATGCAGAATTCTGCGTGTGTGTGTGTGTGTGTGTGTGTGTGTGTGTGTGTGTGTGTGCGTATGCATGTGGGTTGTGGTTCTGATCAAATAAATGCCTGACAATAAATCACAGAATATTAACTATACTAACAGATATGTTTAATGCTTTAATTCTAGGTCCGATAAGCAACCACAAAATATACAACTAATTGTTCTTGTTGTAAATTTGATTAACAGCCATTTTATAAACCATGAAGAAAGTCATTAGAGATTTACCTCTCAGTCTAATGATAATTATAATTATACATTGTACTGTATTTGACTACTTGGATTTTAATTCCAAAAATGGAATTGTAAAACAATAGAGTCGTTTTTAGTAAGCAAAGAAAAAACAATTCTCTGAAATGTTTATTCAGTTTTATTTATTTTGAAATGTTCCTTAACTGGAGGTGTGCACGCCAAGTCACAGCACGTAGCAAACGTCTGCAACAGGATTAGAAGTCACCCAAAATATAATGTCATAGTGAAAACGCTACCACAAAAACAGATTGTGTGTGCCCAATGCCCTGCTTAGGCAAGTAACTTTGACGACAAATGTTCAGTGAGAACAACTTAGCTACATATGTTTCAAGCCTTAGGGTTCCAGAAAACAGATGGGGACATGAAAACTGACAGACTACACACTTTAGGATCCTGGATATGTTAATAAAATGCCTTAAAGGAATTCTATTTTCTAACCACTTACCTTCCCTATATATCCCATGCATTCATTTATACACACTGCTTATGTTCCTGCCAATATCCAAAGTAACCAAGTTCGTAGTCTTTAAGCCAGTCCTTTACTTGACATCCCAGTTGCTAACATTTAGGTTACTAGGCATTTTACTCCATACATGTCATTTCTTTCCTCTTTATTTTTTAAATCACATAAAGTCCTGTGATTAAAATGGTAATGATAGTAATGCTAGTAGAATTATTTCATATTGTGCTTTCTAAATGCTCAACATTGTCAGGTCAATTATGTCAACAACTCTGTCATGACTGCTGTCATTAAGTCAGATGTTTTACTCACTTTACAGACTAGAAAGCTGAAACATAAAGAAGTGAGATGTTTCTCCAAGATTGTACAGCCTTAGTGGCAAGCTGAGAAACAGACCAGACATTCAGGGCCCACAGCCCACCAGGTTCCTAATCTTTGCAAAACTTGGTATGTGCCATGCATGGCTGCCTCTTGGTCTTTGTGGGAAGAGGTGGCAATGAAGTGGAGAAAATCTGACACCCTAGTTCAACTGTGGCATGTTCCAAAGTCACACTACTAGGGCTTGCATGCATCACACTACAGTGCCACGGTCTACCAAGCTGTGAAGTATAGATAAGATAATTATGTCAATGTCCAATATAGTAAAGTACTCTGGATGTCATATATGCCTACATTGTGTCATTTGCTTTTTCGTGTCTCAACACACATGCATGCACACACATTCTTATTCTTGTGTTCACAAAGATATGCACACCATATGCATGAATATTCATGTACACATTCATGCATACACATGCATGCATGCACCCACAGACATACTTACAGCAATTTTACCTTTCACTAAGAAAATTTCCCCAGACTGACACTCCCCATTTCCTTGACAGAATTCTACATTTATGGGTTAGAAGTGAACTGACTTCTGTGAGACCCAAAAGTCAGGAGGTAGCCTCTCAGTCACCTTTTGTGGCTTTCCACACCTCACACCCATACCTTCACAGTCTTGGATGAGAGTGGGTCAAGGTGCACTGTGAGGAACACATTTATTTGGCAGGAAATAAACTCGTGAGCCTCAGAAATCCTGAAACCTCCATCAAACCCTACTAAGTGAATCTTGCCTCAATCTCCCAAACGTACTAGTCCCTGTGTCCCCTCCAGCTCTTTTTAGCTACAGACTTGAGGTTGGTTTGGATGCAATATTCTGCCCATGTAAGTAATTCTGCACAGCGGCACCTTGTCTCCTGCATTTGCCTCCTCATAGCTTCCTTCAAGAACAGAGAGTCTAGTTTGTGAGTCCTTTGTCTTCCCAGTTTGGAGAATCCCCTAAAACCTTAGTGTTTTTCTGTGATGTCCTCATGAGATCCACGAAGAGTTAAATTTACAAATATGCCATTCACATATTTCAATGTTAAAACAAATATCTGGATATCTTCCTTTTAAAAATAGTCTTGTTTCTGAACTTCAATAACAACTTTATTTTAAAGTGATTAATTACCTTCCATATTAATGTAAAAACTATTAACAGAACTCTAATATTGAAGCGCTACACTTGGAGCGTCCTTTGGTCATTACTGATGCCACATTTCTGCATCTTAATTAGGATGTTATTTAGTTATCAGAATGAGAATGAAATGAAACTTTCAGCATGAAGGCAGCAAGAGGAGTGTTAAGTTTCCCATTAGCAAATGCAAGTTTCTCCAACCATAAAGTTGTCTCCACCTACATCTGCTAAAACAATGAAATCTATTTTTATTTTTCAGTACCTTGAAACGGATGCTTTTTCCCTTTGCTTGTTTTATCCCCCCACCCTTTTACCTGCTGCTAATGATTCTCTGCTCTGACTAATGCCCAGCAGGAGAGGCACAGATGCCCTGTAAAAATCTGTTATTAAATAACAAAGAGTTGCCTGTATTATGAAATTATTACTGCATTGTGATCATGCTGAGATGTTCAATGTCAAATTGCTGTGGAATTTTGCAGTTTAGTCACAAAAAAAAGAAAAACAACACCTAACTCGATGTAGGGAGAGACACCTCTTCCTTTTTATGAGAAACACATTTTCAGGACACATGACCTGGTTATTATGCTTTGTTTCCTAGCACTTGCATGACAGTTTATAACCATCTCTAATCCAGTCATGGGGCATCCAGACCCATCTTCTGGCCTTTGTGGATACTAGGCATGCGTGCAGTGCAATACATACATGAAAACAAAACGCTCACACATAAATGAATCTTAAAAACAATTAAATACTTAACCCAGGTCTAGTGTCATAGACCTATAGTCTCAGACACTTGGGTGGCAAAAACAAGAGGATTCCAAGTCCATGATGAGCATTTAGCTTGAATGTGAGAGACCCTGAACTCAATCCCCATCACCAAAAATGAAAAGAAATATGTAATTTACAACCTCTTTTCCATGAGTTTCCAAGTGTAATACTTATCTATGGTATCAAAATACCATCAACCTTTAAAGATATGTTATCTCTTCCTTTATTTATACAAAGAAAAAATAATTGGTGCTTATATCATTAAATCACGTCTTTCTGGGGACCCACCATCAAGACTATCTGTAGAGTTTATAGCTCATACTTCCAAATGAACTATTCCCTGGAGAGAATTGTAGAGAGGTTAGCTGGAAGACAGTTGGATGGATGCAACAAAAGCCTCTAGAAAATGTGAAACTAGACGGGTGTTGGTGGCACATGCCTTTAATCTTAGCACTTGGGAGGCAGAGGCAGGGGGATTTCTGTGAGTTGGAGGCCAGCCTGGTCTCCAGAGCAAGTGCCAGGATAGGCTCCAAAGCTACACAGAGAAACCCTGTCTTAAAAAACAAAAACAAAAACAAAATCAAAAAAACAACAACAAAAAAGTGAAACCAACAGTGGGAAACAGTTGATGTATTTTTAAATGTCTGAAGTAGAACTCTGAAAATGTAGAAAAATGCATGCCTCGTCGAAACAGTATTATATCCATCGGAAATAGGAACCCAGCTTTTGACCTTTAAGCTGTACAATTAAGCCAAGTATCTCCAGATTCAGTCTATATATTTCACAACCTGACTCAAACCCACAAATTAGTAGATCCACTCCTCTCGGTGAGAACTGTTTTTTAAAAAAAATCCTATTACTTGTCCCACCTCCTTCCTCTTGTTCATTCTTCAATACCAGGCCAGGGCTCACAGCTCCTGGTGCTCAGTTCCTGGTCTCTTGGTCCCACACTTATCTACATTTCTTCTCTCCATGTATTTCATTCTGATCTCATCTGTGAAACTGTATCTATGAAGGCTCCATCAGCATTCACGCATATCTTGTCTGCTTTACCAGGCAGGCGGGAACTGACTATTATCTCTATAATAGCATTCAAGGAAAGGTCCTGGGATCAGTAGATACTCATTTAACATGGGCATGAATATGGAGCCAGCTGATAAAATAGTAGAGTCCCTGTTACTTGATAGCAAAATCCTGTCAGTCAGCGCTTTAATACCAACCCTCTCTGGAGGTAACAAGACAACTTACTGTTGTTTTCTGCATAAATCCTGATGACCGGCATCAACTCAAAAAGCACTTTGGGTTTGGATTCAGTGAGTTTTGTATTCCTTTTGTCCCAGCCGGCACCCTCAAGGTATAAGCCGTAGACATAGACCCCTTCTGGGGGAGGGGCAGAAATGTCATCCTTCATCAATTTGGTGACTTCATTGCAAAGAACCATATTGTCCAGAGCCCAGCCTTTGTTAGCCCGAGTTATTTCCTATTCAATTCCAAAAAAAAAAAAAAAGACACAGGGAACAATTAGAAGTTTGTCTTCATAGGAAAAGCAAAATTATGAGCAAGTTACTCCAAATTATCCTTGTTCAAAAGAACTGGGGTGGTATTTATTTAAAGAATTTTAAAGATTCATTTAAAACAAATGTCCATTCCCTAGTTTAACCATTTGTACTTTAAAGAGAAAACTGTAAAATTAAATCGACATAGAAATAAAAATATATACTTGAAATCCAGGCTATCAGCCTGGGAATGGGTAGCTACATTGATAATGACAACAAGGTAACTCCTGGTGCCAAACAGAGGTAGTTGTTCTCTGTCTTATTACACTGATGGGGGTGGTCCTTCTGTGTATATGTTTGTCTTATTGGTTGATAAATAAAGCACTGTTGGCCAATAGGGAAGCAAGTTAGGTGGGATTAAGAGAGAAGGAGGATTCTGGGAAATATAGGAAATGGAGAGAGTCACCATGTGGTGCCAGGAAGAAAAGTCCTTATAAAAGTATATAGATTAGTAATTATGGTTGATAATTAAGACTGAGCTAACAACTAAGAAATCCTAATCATTGGCCAGCAGCATTGCAACTAATATAAGACACTGTGTGTTATTTGGGGGCCCTAAAGTGGTGGCAGAACCCAGGCAGCTGGCTGAAAGAGTTACATTACACTCTTTAAAGAAAGGAAGAGAAAGTTGGAGAGGGAAATTACAGTAACACAATGAGCCCAAGTCAGAGCTATTTACCTGTCGCATAGCAGTTAAAAATCCCTGGGGGTTAAAAAAGCCTGTCATCCAAAAGCAGTGGGGTCGGCCATTGAAAACCCAGGAGGTGAACTGGCAGTTTCTTTCTAGAAGCTCGGTAAACCAGAAACCCAGGGTGCTTGAAACCCACGATGCCTGAAACACAAACATTAAAACAACCCTCCAGTGTAGGCTTGACTCAGCTATGTAAACTAACTGTGCTCACTGAGAAAACAGGCAGGCAAGTGTCCCTTTAAGTCTTGAATTTCCCTTGAGCTCTGACCTGCAAATTCCTCAGATTATTCTTTCTCCTTCACATGAATGTTGCGAAGGTAAGTCAATGATGTGAATTCATAGAGCTGAGAAGGATGACACTACAACCACCTGTGAATATATTTATCACTAACTCTGCTATGAAGGAATCAAAGCCATCTATGGAATGAAATTAAACAGGCATAGTTATCAGTCAGTATCAGGCTACAATTTTAATAGCTATTGTAAAAGGACAAGATTTCTATTTACATGAATAAGCTCATGGCATCATCAAGACAGGCCAACACTTTAAGATGCATTCTGTGTACAACACATCAGAGAAGCTATTCTCTGCTTGTTTTAATGAGGTAAACAACAGTTGTGATGTCGAATATGTATTCCATTAGAGACCTGAAAGGGAAACAGCTCCCTTCCCCATCCGAAATTTATTTGTATGCATTCCTTCTAACTTTCTCCCCGAATTCACTTGAGTAATTTCCTTTATGACAACCGGCATGGATGTCATTAATGCAACAGGAGCAGCACCGTGGGGAAGAATCTGCAAATCATAGGTTATAACATTTCACTGTAATTGCAACATTTTCAGTAGGAATAAATGTCGTAATCAACTTGGGTAGGTATCCCACTTGAATTTCAAATATCATTACAATTAATTTGCCTATACTTCAAGAGCTTCTGCAATTCCGCAGACTGATAGCAACATTAATAGACAAAAACTGTATAAAATGATCATAATTTAAGAATTAGGTAGCTCATTCTATCCTACCTTTATAGGTGTGTGAGGCTAAAAAATAGTGCTAAAAAAAATCAAATTTGGCCTCAGAGTAAAGGGACTGCTAAGTAAGAGGCTGCCACCTGCCTTAGAGGGAACAAATTTGCAAGGCTGGTGAATTGGAAGGTTCTCCATCTGCTGGCAGAAAGAATGGGACATTCAAATGGGAAATGTTCTGGCTTTGCAATGAATCTGTGGAAGGTGAGATGGAAGGAAAGGGGCCCTGGCCAATTTTGATTCAGGATTCTTGTGCCATGTGATTAAATACTCGTCAACAACGGGGGAAGATGTGTGAGGCTCAGCATAGCTCTGCCTCCCGAGTGCTGGGATTAAAGGCGTGCGCCACCAAGCTCGGCTACAATGCCAGTTCTAATCCTGCCCAGATACCTTTCAACTTTGCTGAAGAAACACAAGCCTCCCAAAACGTCCTTCTCCCAATTTCATCTCTACCTATTGCCTTCCTCTACATTCTCAGTCTGGCCCAATCCTCAACAATCCTGTTCTCCCAGTCCTATATCCTTCATCTTTAGCATCTAGTGCCATGGACAGAAGGCACCTCTGGATCCTCCACCTCTTTCCTCAGCATTGCATGCTCATCTTCTACATACTGGTGCCAGCCTCCTGCAGGGCACACTGCCACCTTTACAGCCTATTGTCTTCCTTCTACACTGTAGCCCTCAACACCAAGACCATAGCAAATGCTCTTGTTCTTTTTGTTATCTACTCTTCACTTTAGAAGCATTTTCTTCCTAGGAATCTTGTGCCTGTACATGCAGCCTTACCCGTTTTGGCTTCCCTCATCTAATGATTCTCCTCTGGTACTCATGCTGGCTTACACTTACACTCCATAACTCGAATATTCAAAATGGCAGTGGTGGTGGTGACAGAAGATGATTGTTGTGAAGGTGGCCATACTGGAGTAAGAAGCAGCGATGGTGCTGGGAGTCATGGTGGCCACTGTAGGGCTAGTAGAAGCAGACATGGTGGTGATGGTAGTGGAAGTGATGGTGTGATCATAGTGGTGGCAGAAGTGGGAGTCATTAGTGATGGTGCAGTGTTGCCAATAACCACAAGCACGCACAAGGCACCGACCACACACCATGTAATATGAGAAAGGTAGCATCAGCATCCACAAGAATGATTCAATTAGCATACTAGTTTTTCAGCTAATGATCATCTCAGCCCTAAGGAGACTCCAGAACATACCTCTTTATCCCACTACTCCCACATTCATTCATCACCAAACACTGTTTTCTTAGGAGAACTAAGCTTTCTACATGCCTGAAATTTCTTTACTGCCTGATAGCTCCATTTCTATGACTGTCTGGATACCTCTACATCCTTACTCTCATACTAACAAAGCAAAGAAACTGATTGGGCTAGAGACTGCTCCAAATATGGGTTATCAAACAGCCCATGTGCTTTCTATGCTCTCCAGGCTCCCAGACAGTTAGGTTGGGTCCATGGCTCAAATACTGATTCATGGACTATTCGTGGAAGAGCCATGGACCCAACCTGGGAAGTTGGGCCCAACACCTGACTAGAAAGTCTGCACCTAGTGTTCCTTGACCATTCATCTTCCCTCCTCTGTTATGATAACTTCCCTCTGCTGTGATAACTTCAGAGTCCGTACGTTCCAAGTGGCACCGCTTTCAGATCTCAGACTCTCCACCAGGTTCTCGGAGAGTAATTTGACTTCTGAGAAACATATGGATGTTGGTAAATGACAGTATAACAGCATCCCCAAAGATATGTGAAAATATGATTCAGTGTGTCATATATGGGGGACAACAGCTTTTAGAACCTCCTAACACTTTCAGGAAATATATAGATTCCTGATTGGGAGCCTAGCTCCTCCTGTTTTGTTTAGGACTGGAGTGTCTGTAGGAAACACACAGCTTGCTCAGTAGTTACTTGAAGAAGACAATCTGCCAACTTCAGCGCAGTTTGTGGGTAAAGCAATCTAATTTTGAGTTCTATTTTTTTTTAAAAAAATCCTCTTGTTATCAAATGTCATGCATATTCTTCTAACATTTTCAGTAAATGTTCTATAATCTTCGTACTCTGTGTGGACTTTTTCTTTTTGAAACCAAATAGAAAAAGAGCCAAATCTCTAAATTCAGACTAATCTATACCATCCTCTGAACTCCCATTTCCCGTTCCATTTTCTAACTGTAACCTATAATTTAAACAATATTTGCAACTGGAGGTGATCATGCTTATCCCCCAGAGTCATGGACTATCTAACTAACATCCCAGGGCCATGTTCTTTCAGGTTACTGCTCATAGGAGTCCCAAAGATCCCACCCCAAACAATATAGACTATGCCTTTGCACTTGAGTGTCTCCCAGAACTCAAAGTTAAGGCTTTATTGCTGAAGACATGATGTACTTTTGACACAGAACTTGGAGTGATAGATTAGAAATGGTCTGCAAGACTCAGCCCTGAGGACTCACTCTCATGCAAGCTGCCAAGGGAAAAGGAACATCCAGTCATCCTACCAAGCTGCAAAACCTATGAACCAAATTAATTACTGCACTGACAACATTCCCAGAATGGTAAAATTGGGGCACATTCATCTTGGTTGTTACCAACAGCTGCATAATTGTATTTAAGCCTGCTCAACTGATAGTATAAAGCTAGCCAGCTCACCACAGTTGAAGAGGTCATAGACCTGTGAGGAAAACCTACTGCTGGCACTTTCCTAAAACAATATATAACTGCATTGCAAATATTTATCCTTATACTCACAGACAATATAGGTCTTACCCTCAAAAAAAGTGGCAAAAAGGAGGAGGTCGTTATAGAAGACTGTAACTAACCAAACTGCAGAGGACAACAACCCTGGAATGCTCAGCCCCAGTGGGTACATCTACAACCCAATTCCTGCATCTAAGGCTCAGAGAACACCAAAGAAGAAGAGAGTGGAAAGACTGGAAGGGACAGAGGACCAGGAAGCCTGCTGCAAGATTGTGCCTTCCACCTACAGCAGGGAAACTGCACCCATGAAAGCTCAACAACATTTCTGCCTAAACAAGACCTGCACAATTTCAACAGCAGCTGCTACCCCAACCTGCATGAAGAAATCTCAGGGGCCCCACTCCAAGATGAGGAACTGTAAGAGATTAATAACTGCTGAAAGGGGAGGAATAAGTCCTCCCAGGAGAGGTGGCCCCTGACTGGTTATGTAATCCCTAGTGATTCACCCTGGAAATATATCCACGCAGAAAACACTGACCAGACTCAGCAGATTGTATTTATATAGTTATTCATTTATATGTAACAACAATGGCAAAAGAAAGGAAAACTCGGAAACAGGAGTGTGGGTGCATGAGGGGGGAGCAGAAAGGAAGAGTTTGAAGGGACATGATGTAATTACAGTTTAATTAAATCTTAAAGTAGTAAATAAAGGGAGAGATGTCCCGGTGATTAAAAGCACTTCCTGCTCTTGCAGAGGACCTGGGTTTAGTTCCTAGCACCCACATTTGGAGGCTTATAACTGCCTGTAACTCCATATAAAAGGGGGATCTGATGCCCTATTGTGACTCTGTGGACACCTGTACTGTATGTATGTGAACCACATTTTTAGACTTAGTCACACATATCCACATAAAACAAGTAAATAAACCTTCTTCATTTTAAAATGAAATTCTGTAAACAAGCACAGAGACAGGAATTACCCCTAAGCATCACTGATCCTAACAACCAAACTAAGTGACTCTCCAGTGCTCCCCACTCTTCCATGCTTCCCACTGTGGTTATAGCCATGCACAAAACAGGAGCAGAACTGCACTCACCTTCTTCCACCGAGCAGGGATTCTGGCGTCAAACATGCAATCCAGAGCATCTCGCAGATTTTCGCTCATGATAATGGTGCCATCAACAGCGAGCTTCAGCTCAGTCAGAGTGCTGCGGACGAGGCTGAGCACCCTCTGCATCCTGTCAACCTCCTGCCTGAGGAAAATGTTCATGGGCTGGAATGGCCCCATCTTCTGCAACCTCTCTTTCACCTTCGATAGAGACATTCAAAGCATGCATTAGGAATCAGCTAGCTACTGTGACAGTACAGGATTGTGCCCTGAGCTTCTAAATAGGCCCTGCTTTTTACAATGTCATGAGTCAAAAGCTTTTAGTTTTTCAACAACAAAGTAAAAAAGGAAATATAAGAAAGCAAATATCTTATATATGACCAGCACAAGTTTTTAGAGCATTCGAGAAAGAATAGGGCTCCATTAGCTCAAAGAAACATGTAAAATGTATATAACTATAGTATGTAGTATATATAACAACTCTATCAAATGAACTTACTAAGAATTATTTATTCCCTGCCAATGTGATATATGTGTGAGTACATGCAGGCAATGTATTCATGTACACTACCGCTGTGTCAATTGTCTCAAATAATGAGACATCTAATCTTAAAGCACTCTGCTGTTTTCCATAAGCACAGAGACCTGTTCATTCCTTTTTATTTAACAGGTATTTATGGAGAATTTTCTACATAGCAGGTAATCTGTTAGGCTGGACTATTTTACGCTGGAGCAGTTCTGACAAATTCTGCACACATAGAAGGTCTCTTCAAAAACCTAGTTACCATGCTTCGTTACATAATTATTCTATTTTAGATATTTTAATTGCTTCATAAATATTTTGACCTCCAGTGGATGCAATGTCCTCTCTTCCAGCACTGTAATGAAGAGCCCATATGAAAGCTGATAGCAGTATTGATTTTCCCCAAGCCAGTGATCAGAGACTCTCCCAGGGAAACCATTCCCTTGCCAAGAGAACCTTGAGCACAGTTTTAGTAGCCAAAATAATCTGCTCAGTAGGATCAATAGGATACCAAAGCCACATGTGTGTGCCTAGGAGCAAGGCCATGCAGTCAGCTCTTAGGCCATATGGAATATAATTCACTTTTTGTTTATCAAAGATTTCTAAACCATATCAGAGTAATGGTCTCAAAAAATGCATTAAATTCTAAAGCATTAACTTCCATGATTATAAACTGCTTAGAAGCTATATATATATATGCTTAGAATCAGAATGATGCAAGAAAATACTGCTTCCCTGAAGTGAAGAAGGCCTGAATTATAACTTGTGCATTAAATCACACATGCACATGCAGATGTACACACCATACACACACACACACACACACACACACACACACACACACGCATGCACATGCATACACACTCAGACACACAAATACACGAATGCACACACACACACACACCCATGTACTTGTACATATTTGCTCAAACATTTATACACATATGCATAAATGGGAACACACTTGCACACACACACTAACACATGCACATACACACATACATACACGAGCATGCACACACACACACACACACACACACACACACACACACACACACACACACACGCACACATGAGTGACTGGTCCTTCAGGCTGACAGCACATTGCTTTCATTTAAACAATGGCACTATGAAGTGCCTCAGGGAAGGCTCTGTAAAGTAACCCTACCTAACCCAGCAAGGCACATATCAGCTAGTAATAAACACTGACTTTCGGGTCATGTTTCTTCATGGTTCTCTCATGTCAACTTTCTTCATGGTTTTCCTTTTGTGGTTTGTTAAGAAGCTCCTTTGTTTCTGAGTGTTATCTTTTACTTCAGAAACTTAATTTTGTCTTGCTTCCTTCCTCCTCACTTGCCCACAAACAGACTCATCTGAGACTGATGCCAGGATTTCGTGTACTCACTTCAAAAGGGCTGTAGTCTTCTGGAAGCTTCTGCAGCATCTCATCAGCCAAGCGGGCCACCACAGCCTCCCGTGTCTCATCCCCTCCACCAGAGCTGTCCTTAGGCTGGATGCCCAGGATGGTGTCTAGCACGTCCTTGGCCAGCTTGCTCTGGTAAGTGATGTCGGCATTGGGGTGCAGCCCAAACACCTCGGGGCTGTCATAGGCAGGCAAGCTCTGAACAACAACAAAAAAAAAAAAAACAGATAAGCATGCACTCATAACATCAATTAAATTACAGAATTGAGAAATAAAAATGTTTTGACCAGGATAAACACTTACTTATATCTCCCTTGTGACCTGCTACAGACCCCAATAATTTCTCCACATACCCCAAATGAAAAGTTGTAATGTTGAGAAACACAAGACAGACTGAAGCAAAATTTAACCAGAGACATAATCTTACATGAATGCAAGATAAAAAGGGAGTTTTTTTGGATAGTCTAATTAAAATCATTTCATATGAGCGTTGTATAATTCATGGCTATTGTATTGATACAAACAGCAGGAAATGAGAGTTTTAGAAAGCGTGGCTCAAATAAGACTGAGAATGGAAACTGTTCTATCCGAGGGAGAAAAATGGAGACTGAGGAAAAGGAAATATTCAAAACACAACAGAGAAAAATAGAGTGAGGGGATGAAACACGGCCAGGAACAGAACAATGGAGAGGGAAGGCTCCTCAGTTACTGGGAAATAGAAAGTGTACCTACAATTTGACATGTATTTTCATGTGTGGATCCTATCCTTGACTTTATTATCTTCTTACTAGTCCCCCTCACTTCCTCTGCCTTATTGTATTCCTTTCACATATCTTCTTATGAGCTACCTCGTTTCACTGGTATAGAATGAGGTATAGATCTAGAAATGCAGGTACAGGTGTTCTTAAATTTACAAGGTCTCGGACAGTTTTCTATCCACGGCTAATGATTTAAAGACACACACAGTACAGCAAGACAAATGTTATTTGCTGATTTGAATTAATAAAAGTGTGGAAGTTGTAATATATGATAAACCCATTGCACTTATACATCAAAACCCTATAAATATCCAAATAAATGTATCCCTTTGGGGGTGTTGTGCTTTAGTTTATTTACTCTGAGATAAATCTGAGACAGAGGCAATGAAGCTGCTAAATCATCGTGTAATGCATTCAGGGTGCAAGGAGGAACACAGACACCTTCAATGCCAGATATTCTCCCCTCTCCTATTCCTGACGGCCCTAACAGAATCCACATTATTCTGTCCTAGAGCAGTACTCCTCAGCCAAAGGATCATTTGGCAACACCAGGAGACATTTATTAATCTTAAAATCAGGTAGGGGATGCTACTGGCATTTAGTAGGTAGAGGCCAGGGACCATGCATGAGAAACAACAATGCATAACCTGGTTGTAAATGCCAATGCAGCCAGACTTTTAAAAAAATCTGTCTTAAACAAAGGACTCATACAAGGCAGGTTCATGGGTGCCATATCTATGCCCAGCCTTCGGTTTGGGTTAAGGATGGGTGCCAAGGATTAACTACCTAGGTTGGAAGTAAAATAGGCTGAGTCCAGAAATTTTCCTTGGTCTACAAGTGTAGTGGCTGAAGTCCCATGAGCAGAGGGCCCCTGGTGACTTACATATATCCTCTCCCTACATCAGCCCAATCTGTCATCTCACCAAAGAAAATCCACCCAAGCCATTAGAACATAAGAATATGCAAAAGGGTCTCTCACAAAGCTCATTTCTCAGAGCAAAAAAAGGCATGATAACAAAAGGTTATAAACATATAAAGGAATCATTTACAGCACAAACCTTTGCTCCCACTGTCATTACCATTAATTTTAAAGCAGTGTGAATGATGCAAATAGATTTTGTAAGGGTCAAAGAGCTGCTTAGATTTGTTCCACAGTTAAAATGCTAAAGCCCACAAACCTGAATGTACTGAAGATAGCCATCCACTGTGCTGCATTTTGGAATGCTGTATCCTTGGTAAAAGGTGAAATCTGGTCCAAACATGTTTTCACTGAACCAAACCTTTGCAAACGTGTTCAGCAACCTCTTATCGTAGTCGTCAGTGACTCTGCCTCCATACTGGATCTCTCCAATCATGTAACGGACTGTGGTCCAGGACACACCCTGGGAGCATTCATGAACAATTACACATCAGCACGTATTCACCATCATCAATGACAGCAATACAGCCACTCTTCTTCATAATTTCATGATATAGATAGTGTAGAAAATAAACAGGTCAATGTAAGGAGTTACTTCAGGGCCACAGGCATGACTTCAAATGGACTTGTGAAATTCGTGTTTTCACACCTCAATATTTCAAAAGTTTACTTTGAAAATTTTATTTCTATTTATTTTAATTATGTCTATGTATATGTGGTGGAGGAGTGCCGGTGCTGGAGAAATCCAAGTGAGGGTGCCAATTTTCTAGAGCTGGAGTTCTGGGCAGTTATGGTCACCTAAGTGCTGGGAACTGTACTTGGGTCCTCTGCAAGAGCAATGTGTGTTTTTAACAACTGAGTAGTCTCGAAATGCTTAAAGTTTACCTTTTGGAAATACTTAGGCAGTTCCAAAAAGGATTAAACATAATCCAAACTCTTGTCTTTATTTCTAAAGGTTTGCTCCCCTTTATCCCACACTGCATCGCTGCCGCAGGTCCTTTCAGATTGCCTTGTGAACTGTGAACATGCCTTTGAGAAATAAATTGCTAATAAAACATATCCAGGGATTTTTTTTCCTAAATCAAGAAACAATTATGACCCAAGTGGATGTGCCTTTAAAATACCCTACAACTTTATCAAATCTTCATAAGATTCACCCCCAAAGTTGGACCACCACATATGTTCAATGTATATCTTGCTATGAAATAGGAGGCTCAGTAGTACCTTCTTGATATCCATATCATCCAGGTGGTTTTGAATGAACTGCACAGTGGCATTGAAGTCTGCTTGATTAAATTCATAGGGGATATTCCATCCTAGGGGACCAAACTTGCGCCTCTCCTGTACAGTAGAGTGCAGGAAGGCCACTGCATACAACATGGGCTTCCACTGGGCCCCCACACTCACATCCAGTAGGTCCTGGCTCACGCCTATTATGGTAGGACAGATAGAAGAACATATCACCTCTTAGGAACTTCCATTTATTAATCCTATTGTAAGAAACCATTCTGGCAAATTGTTCATAACAAGCTCTAATTTCATTACATGCTCTGGTGTACGGCCCTAATCAGGTGGGTTGGGCCACACAGTTAACTCAGCCCTTCCTTTCCTTTTGGAAGGTGCTGTACTACTATACTAATGTAGGAATGGAGTACACAGACCACAAACCACAAAGGAGGCTTAAATACAACAATACTGGAGATACAGAAAAGCTAAAGTAGAAAGTCATGGGCTCAGTTTACATCATTTCCCATGGAGCACAATACCTGGATCTCTGTCAGACAAAGGAAGAGTACTATTTGCTAATTCTGCTTTTATAATTTCTTTTAAAAACAGTTTGTGAGTTTGTGGGCAAGTCCTGCAGACTCGGAAGCCTTCCCCAACTTACCACCATATGTTCTTTTCAGGCCAGCCCGGAGGCCCTGAGGAGGCTCATTGGCAAACCTGATGGACATCTGAAGGAGAGTTATCGGGAACTGCCTGTGAACCTCTGTGGTAATCCATAGGCGGAAAGTGTCACGAACAGTCTCTGTTTCTGTAATTATGTCCATTAGTTCATCTAGGAAGTCAAGTCCCAGATGGCAATTCTGTAGAAGTACCCATCCGCCCTAAGAAACACCAGCAACAGATGGAAATTAGGTTAGTTTCTTTCACCTGGAGATTTCAAGACAACTTTCTCCAGAAATTATGTCATCAAAATTTAAAACTGAAGCATTGTAATCACTTTAAGCCAATCTAGGCTAGCTCTAGTGGTTCAATAAAGCTCACTTGAGATATACGATGTGGTTTTGGTATTGTTGCACGCATGTGCCCCATAGCACACTATTGTGATGTAGACATACTAATACTTTGGATCAGTCACGGCAATAACCAGGGCAAAACAGAGAAAGGTGATAGAATTTACAAGTGAAGCAGGGCTCTGCTCTTCCCCCAGTTCCATTAAAACTACATCATCATCCCAAACAGCAATCAGAGTTCCAAAAACTGAATCCTAAGCTGCACTTGGGGTGCTTCTGGGAGTGGCCAAGAATAGCAAAAAGCACAAGATTACAAGAGGCAGAGGAACACAAAATGGTACCAAGACCCACGAGCAAGATATCTGGTCTGGACTGAGAGAAGGTGGGAATCAGGGAAAAAAGTAAGTACACCCCCCAGAGTGCCCCCAGCTCACTAAGGAGAGATGAGGACATGGGTCTGGCGAGGGCAAACCAGACAGGGCCTGGACTGAGGAACAAGCACCTCAGGTGGAAAACAGCCACACTGAAAACTCTTGGAAGAAAGTTTACATACAGTATTTTGAGAGTTGTTGCCTCCTTTCTAGACTCTCAGAATACTGACAACCAAACATCTACCTCTAGAATATGGAGGAAGTGTCCCTGTGAATCTAATTATTTTAAAAACCACAGCCTTAGAATAGTAAGTCTTAATTTTTGCACAAAGTATTCTATAACTGTGAGATTCTTTACATACAGTCCCCCAAATTTGTGAACTATGCAACAATTTTCCTAATATCTGATCTGTGGGATATTTTAAGTAAAATCATCTACAGTGTCCATATCACAATTGCAAGGTGTTTTTGAATCTAGACATCTGGCCTTACATTTGCCATGGTCTGGTGCAACAGCTTCCTCGCATGGACCTCCTGGCCCTGGCCCATGGACACATAGCGTGTTTCTATTTTTAGTCTCTTCCCCAAAGCAATGATGGAATCTGTGGGGTCAGAGCCCATGGACAGGAGGCAGATGAGTGGCGTCCGTGGATCAGATTCCTCCCATGTCTTTTCCAAGTCCAGGATAACTCCCTCTGCATAGTTCTCTCCCATGGAGTCCATGATGTACTTTCGAGCCTGTCAAAAGCAGCACAAAGTCAAGAAAATACTCCTACCTCCTTCGTGTATCACAATACAGCATGGCTTCTGCAGACTGTCTCAAAGATGTTCGTAGTAACTGCTAGGGAAACACAGCAGAGACTTCTTTTCTTAGTGTTTGTGTTTGTCTACATTTCAATGCTATACTCAGAGAGGCTGTGCTACTTGCCAGGCAAAACCATAGTTAGAGCGTTAGAGCTGCAGAACCTAAGCTAAATGACCCTGGTTTCCATTTCAACACACTGATAGCATCTTGCTGTCTACATATGATTTGGAAACTTTGCTATTTAGGATACTAACCTTAATTCTCAATAGTTCAATGGTACAATGCTTGAAATTTAATGAATATTTACCAATAATCATTGAATAACTATTTATTACACATATTAGGGAATTAATTGGTTAATTCATTTTAAAATAGTTACTTGATAATGTCTGCTTATCATTTTCATCATCCCTTCCACTCTTTAGTTCTATCTTTCTACTACTACTTTTGTTTGATTTTTAATGAAATCCATGTTGATTTCATTAAAATTGATTTGAGATCACAGGTTATTTTTTTCAATCTTCATTTTTCTATCATATCTACTATTCTTTTTCTAAAAGGCCAAAGAGTAATTTTTTCAACTGTCAATATAGTACATATGACCCTTAGTCATTATTCTTTGCCTCACAATAACTGGGTTGCCCTCCTCAGAAAAACACAGTTCTCCAATTCTAGTGTCTTCTCCAAACTCAAGTTTTCACATTCACATGTCTCCACAGTGAGATTCTGAAGATGAATCTTTCTCACAGGAAAAGCAGAACCCAAATGCCAGTACATTAACTTGGCCTCCCTAGAAGCCAGTGATGCATACACTCAATCCTATTCCCAGTGGAATGCACATGGAACTTCCCTTGACTCTCAAGTGTCAGACAGACCTGAGCTGTAAATGTAACCATTTTGAATGATGAATTTTTACCAGTGTAAACTCAAAAACAAATGAAAATGAAGGTCAAGATATTATAGATGAAAAAAAGCATGCAGAATAGTTACTGAAATCCAACTCGGGAAACTTTCAAAGTAAAGATGGCTTAACTAACCTTAACCTGGACCTCCTGGGTCCAGATCATGACAAGGGAATCATGGCCTGTGAAGATGTCTAGTATCTTCATAATACCAGAAATGAATGGCAACTGAGAAAAGATAATTGAGTATCCAGAATGCTCTACTTATGGATTTTCCTGATGGATAACTTTGGCCCTCATATTAGAAAGTGAAAAATGCTATGAAACACCCATCTTCTGCACAATAAAAAAGAGATATTAGGTTCCCATTCCCTAATGGGAATGATCACAGATGATTATTGACTAAGCACTGGACCACTGTATTACCAGTCCCCTCTCCCATCGTCTAAGTTCCAACCTTGCCCCATCATAAACCACAATGTCCAGTTTGCCCCCAATGCATGATTAAACTATGATGATTTGGTAGAAGTACACGGTTTTCTTCCATTGACAGCTGTCTCTAAATAATTTTGGGAAAAGCCAGCTTACCTAGCTTCTTAGAGGCTGTGAAGTTTCCAGCCAGAACCCTTCCTCGATAGTAGGGCTAAGACAGTAGTAAAGAAGTAACCAGTCAGGGCTCATCCCTCTGAGCCATGGAAGTCATCACTCATTCAAACCTCTCTTGTTGTCTACATATGATTTGGAAACTTTGATATCTATAATATCAAACTACTCTTTGAGTAGTTGAGAGGTGTTCTAAAGGTGTGGAATTCAATCTGGTTGAATTTGAGACACAATATGCCATTGTATCTCTCACTATGTATTCTAAACTAGCAAGATCCAGTATGAAATTCTCTAGCCTTGCTCTAAATGCCCAAATACTTTTCTGCATCCTTCTGGCAAATACTTAAAAAGTTTTCTTAACATGTCCATTGATGCCATTTAAAATTTTCTCTGGGTACACATTCAGAGTCACTGAAGATCTGCAGTCAGGAACCAATTCAATGTCTGGTCATTGCACAGTTGAAGTTCCTGCTCAACCTCAGGCACCTGCCAGCACTGCAGCTTCTCAGTGTGGCTCACCTACATTCAAAAGATCAAATGTTTTCTATTTTAAGTTAGAAGGGTGTTCAATACAACACAAAACACCATACAATCAACATGAACCCATACAAGATGTTATGATGCAGTAGGGGTCACATGGCAAATCATTGAAGTTTTTCTAGCTACATGGCCTTCGTTGCAATTATTTAACCCATCCATTGTAGCACAATGGCAGCTAGATATAATACATAGACAAAAAGATGGGTTTTTGTTCCAGTCAACTGCACACCCTGATTTGACTATTTCACTATAGACATATACAATTATATAATAGTTAAGATAAAATAAAACTTTAAAAGCATTACACCAAGATTTGACTGTTACATTATTTTCACATCATAAAGTATCATTTTTCTTGTTGTATTTTATCTATTAAAAATATAAAATTTATGCTTAGCTCAGAAACTATCTGAGGCATTGACCAGTTTTGTGGGGGAGGCCAAATGCTCCTTTGCTAACTCCCTGATAAAGAAAGCCATTGAACTTAAAATGGAAACCGGAATGGAATTGTTTGACAAAAATCCTTGTTCCTGGAAAGAGAGACATTTTTGGGATCACAGCCACTGTTTCTGATTAGCTTCAAGACCGGGTTTTGCAGTTCATTCTGTGATGTAAACCCAAAACAAAACTACGTGTGTGCAAAATAATAAATTTCCTCACCTCCATAACTTAGCCAAACATAAGTAACATCTCATTGAGCCAACAGGCATTACTGAGTCTCTTTGTCCTCATAAATGCCTGTCTTGTAACAGGCATGAAACTCAGTTAACAAGCTCCTCCTCCTCTGTCCAAGGATGTATGTCAGGTGGCCCTACCAAGCAGTGACAGTAGATTCCCCTGCCTTTGGGAATCCTGCTTCTCCTCGGAATTAGACATACAATGACTGAGTAATAAGGAATAAGCAACAACCTCCAGAGGGTGTACAATGACAAAACCAACTGATATTGCAGAAATGTATAGGTGTATGCTTCTTGTCAATGGACAGTTTAAGCTGAGATGCAGACTGCTGGGGAGCCTTGTCCAAACAAAGGAAAGTCAGAGTGGGGTGTACTTCATACAGAGAACACTTGTGCAGGAATTTGGGAGCTAAGAAGAATAAATTGTCTCATCTGCATAGAGGACAACCAGTACAATTTGTGTAAGTGATGATTTGGTGAGGGCCAGCCAGACTTCTGCACAGCCTGCCAACCTATAAAAACTTAACATTCATTGGCACTAGAATAAATATACAGTGCTACATCTTCACAAGTGATTCTGCCAAACTCCAAAGAACATTTTGTTCCATCTGGTCTCAATTAAGCAGGCTCAACCTTTGAGTAGGGGGCAAATGAACTCAGAGGCTGTCTCGTATGGACTGACCTCCCTTTGTAGCATGTTCTTTAGACATCACTGTGTATGTGGCATTAGATACCTTCTGACAGTGTGGTAGTCTTGTGGCCAACCCACCTAACATTCCCTGCTGTGGACTCTTACACCAGACAAAATGCAGTGTATCGGTTGCATCCTGACATGGCTTGTGAGGAATAGGGTCAGAGTACATAAACCTTGTGGAGCTTATCTGGCAATAAATTTTAAAGGGACTGATACAGATACAAATTTCAGAGGGTGTACTATATTTCCAGAGGACCATGTAGATTTTGTTCAGGAATTTAGTGTGATTGTAAGGGCCATGGTAAATCACTAGACAACTTAAAAATCTGAGAAAGGGAATGTTCTTGCCATTTCTTTTAGAATATAAACTATGTATCAGAGTGGGAAAAAGACACAAAGTGTGGCCAGTAAAAAGCCACACTTATGTCCTTCCTGAGGATGACAAAGCTATACAAAGATGGAAATGTTACAGACAAGTCTGAAGGTCTTTGTTTTAAGTTTAAAACTAAATGTTTTCTGTGGGAAAAGAGAAGGTAGGTAAGGACAGCTGTATTTACACCTCTCTCCTACACCTGAAAAGGGCAAATGTTTGACCATCCATTAGGGTAGGGTAAAAATAATAAAGTTGGAGGGAAAACTAAATAGAAGAGTGACCTCAGTGCCCTAAGTGACAAAACTCATTCTTTTCTTTTTTTTTTTTTTTTGCAGATTTTTTATTTGAATTAGAAACAAGATTGTTTTGCATGACAATCCCAGTTCCCTCTCCCTCCCCTCCTCCCTTAGCACTTCCCCTAACTAAAACCCTGCCTATCACATATCCTTTCTGCTCCCCCTGGATGGTGAGGCCTTCCATAGGGTGTCATCAGAGTCTATCCTATCCTTTGGGATAGTGCCTAGGCCCACCCCTGTGTGTCTTGGCTCAGGGAGTATTCCTCTATGTGGAATGGGCTCCCAAAGTCCACACCTATGCTAGGGATAAGTACTGAACTACCACAGGAGGTCCCATATTTCTTTTCTTAATAAGTCTTTGGATCTTGTCATGGTACCTGAGTCTAGTTGTGGGTAGTTACCTTGTAAATTTTGTAATACTGACTGCAGAGAATAAGGTGAATTCAGAGCCCAGTGGATTTTGTTCTATCGCTGCTTTATGGAAGCCATTAAGAAATTTATCTGTGCTAAATTTTAAAGTTTTAATTGTGAAAGGAAAACCTATGCCTTTTCTGTGGGTAAGCACCTAGACATAAGACCAACATATAAAAAGTCTTGGGGAAGACGAAGCTTTTGGAAGACAGGTCCACATGTCAGCCATGGGCAGAACCCAGTTTTAGGGCAACCTGATTCCTCTCACTCAGAGTTGTGTATTATCTAGAGAACTGATACCATGTCCATCCATCCTACTCTCTCACTAATGTTTTCTGCGGTTTTCTTGCTTATACAAGAGCTGATTTACAGCTAGTAAAACAGAGCAGCCATATCATTTCTGAGTTATTATAAAATGATATGTGAGAATAATGCATTAGATTTATGTTATTGTACATGCCAAGCTCAGAATCATGATTTTCTCATTTGCTTTTGTTTTACCACTAGGACCAAAGGGGTTTAATAAATCACTTAGGGAAGTATATACCTCGATACTTCATTTGTTGTTTACATTTCCATTTATCACATTTGTCTTACTTAGAAAATTGCTTGGAAGCCCACAAGGAAATTCTGGTTGATAATCACATTCAAAATACTTCTCTAAACTTAAAGGAAAAATCTCCTTCAGTGAACTCTCTTTGTTTCCTTTTAATATGTACCTTACCTGGGCAATGGTTCTGTCTGGACACCAGGATCTAATAAGAAGAAGACGTCTGAAGCAGTCGAGAGATTTGTCATAGGCATTTGGAAGAGGTTCCTCCTCTGGATTTTCTCTGTCAAACCAAATTCTCCACAGTTTTTCATTTCTTGATATCTGAAAATACCGTGGGATAAGAAGTGTGTCATGCCACGCAAAAGTCTTCCAGTAATTGTTTGTGGACATTTTTGATCAAATATTTTGACCACTCTAGGCATGTGTGAGCTATATACTTTCACTATTTTTAAACTTTATATATCCTAGTAACAAAAAGTCTAAGAACAAATAGCAATTGCTCCCAAATCAGTCTATTTTCACATTAGCCTATAGCTAGTTGCAGAAGTAGGGAGAGTCCTGAGATACTTGATTTCACCTATGCCTTTATGGTAATAAATTTATAAAGAAAGAAAAATCAATGGTGCCTCATTTCCATTATCTCAAGGAAGTCTGGTTTGCTCCACAAAATCCTCTTATAACCAGGCCTTATTCATTCATGTTTTCTGATATCCTAGGACCAATTGGACACAAAGGAAGATATTTAACACATAGTTGTTATTGAATAAACAGGTTTGGGTCAATACTCTATTGATCTAAAGTAATTTGAGCGATTGCATCCAATATCATCATCACATGGATGACCAGACACCTGCTACTTGTAGGCAATTGGCAAAGCACACAGTACATCACCCTCTGGAATCCAGAAACCAATAGGACACCAAACTTACAGAGGCAAACACATCAGAAGCTTCAAACAAACAAATAACATCATAAATTAATATCCTCAGATAAGCTCTTTGATGAGAGATTCAAGTGTATTTCCTAGTTTAATCAAAAGAAGAATCTCCCTGGGCTCATGTTCTGAAACCACAATTTAAGAGTAAAAATTAATCTGCTTCAATTGCAAAAGGCTTCATAATGGTGCCGGATTTCCCACATGTGACACACTCTCCAAAAGATAGCAAACTCTGATCGGAGTGATCCCTGGAAAATTCTTGGATGTATCCTGATGGAAGGACAAACTAGAGTACATTAATAATTCAAAAATTAAGTTATTTTTCCTAAAAACAACTGACTGTACCCAAATTACAGGTTAGTAATAACAAACATCACCAGTTATGAACCAGAGTATAAAAACAACACATCAAAATTTAAACAGCTTGTAAACTTGAACTATCAAAGTTAAAAACCCATCTCAGGCTATTTCTTGGTCAAAGCAAACACCCACAGCCCCTTCAGTCTGTCCCTGAATAAAGACATCATGCTGTCAATTGTCTCTTGGTCACCAGACATTAACCTCCTTCCAGCCTTGTTTTATACTCAACTTCCATGATTCCCTCACATAACACTGATGCAGGCAACTGAATGGTTGAAAGAACAGTGACATCTACAGATGAAGAGACAAACGTCAGCATGAGGTTCAGACATGTATGACTAAATAAGAAGAAACTAGAAAGAAGGACAGAGGAATAATAGAGACAAAGGACAAGAAGAGAAATTTAGTAGAAAAGGCTATCTACATTTCTTTCCATTTAGTATCTAAAAAGAGAACACATACAGAACTACTCAGGCATTTAATTAGTCTCTAACTGGACCCATCAATTTTTCTTTATAAAAACCTTTATAGTGACATGTAGGCTGTGACAATGCCAATTAAACTTTCTGAGCATGCTTCTTCCAGTATAAACAGCCTTCAGTAGACACTGCTGTTTTCAGGCTGTGGATAAGCTGCAGGAAGGCCAAACACGTACAATACCTTCTAAGACTGACAGTATAGGAAGAAAGCATCTCTCCTCTGCAGACACTGTAGTGATGAGTCTAAAAGCTGCTCACCATGACAATAGCTTAAGTACATTCAAAGAATGTAGTACCTGATCTAGGATATCTGAAAACTGTCTAAGCTTGCCAAGTTCCACCAAGTTCAACCAGGTCATGTCTAGGATCCATTTCGATGGTTTGGGAGGACAGGCTTTAAGATCCAATGAGGCGCCACCTTTAAAATTAAACAGAAGTTGCTAGTTTTTCTTTCTTTACTTTAAAACAATTCACTTAGCAAATGTTTCTACTTGAAGTGTCTTAATTTCCATGACTTTACTACTTAGACATTTATTAAACTCAGAGATATAAATCATAGTGAAGAGCATGCTTCAAACTTAAATAATGAATAGATGATTTTAGAAAGAAGCAATCACTCATCCGCACTATAGCTCTGGGAACAAATGCTGGATTCTAACCCAGATAACCTGATCAACATCTAGGACAAGCTACCTTATCAGCCTGGAACACTACTTCCAAATTTTAAATGATATGACCTACATGCCTTGCTGTAAGTGTATAAACCATGCAGGACTGAGGACATGGCAGGTCACTAAATGAACAGCTTTTGTCAATATTAAGAACAGCCTTATACTGGCATAAGCTAAAAGGATTCTCTTGCATAAACAATTTATGTCTGTTTGACTATATCCTAGGGGCTCTGTCACATTGATTATATTGGATAATCTAACAACAACAAAAATTTCCATTTGGTACTGGACTCCTGTGTTTTTGCTGATAACTGACCTAAGCACAAATAACTTTTAGCACCAATGATAAATGCCACTTTTAAAATACCATTGATGTCACTTCAAAAAAAAAATCTCAACAGGTAAAAATCATATTTTAAGTAAAAGAAAGTATTAGGGAATATTTAAAATATAAAATGTTGTCTAATAAATAATATCCATTAAAGTATTTCAGTGCAAAATGTTCTAAACATTATTCATAAAAGGAAAACCAATGCACTTGGCCATCTTAAGATGCTTTGTTTTATAGAGCAGGTTATAAACAAATAATTTAAAATATATTTAATGAGCCATTCTCTACTTAATCCGGATACCATGTATTATTAAACTGTATCCTATTGTCAAACCAATCTTATTTCATTTATAATAAGGTAAATGGGGCCTTGAAATTATTTCAGCACAAATTTTAGCTCATAAAATGAAAAAAAAACTTGTTGTAATACCAAGACCCAATGACAACAGCAACGTGTTCAGTAAATGTTTCTCCAATTTCCATGACAACTACCCATTTTCCATCAAAATGGAAAAAATAAGGTAATTACCAGTGATTAACAAGACTATTCTTGGAAAGGAGCCTTTTGATGGAAGCACCTTTCAGTGTTTAATAACAGGAACTATGTTGTAACTGTTTTGCCTATTCCAAAAATGTACAATTAAGCAAAAGGTGTAGTTCTGTGATGGAGAAAGAAAACTAATTTGGATAACATAGCAGCAGATGAAATAGATTCTTTAAGAAACATTTGAGAAAGGAAAAGTTAACTCAGCAGGTCTCAATGGGCTCAAAGAGGCAGAAATGAGTAGCCCGGGGCCTGCATGGGGTCCTCTGTGTATATTTTAAGGCTGTTAGCTTGGTGTTGTGTGAGACTCTAAAGAGTGGGAGTAGGTGTATCTCTGACTCTTTTGCCTTCTCTTGGGACTCTTTTCCTCCTATTGGGTTTCCTTGTCTAGCCTTGATATGAGGACTTTGCTTTGTCTTATTATATATTGTTCCGTCATGTTTGCTGGTTGTTTCTTGGAGGCCTGCTCTTTTCTGAAGATGAAATGGATGGGGGTGGATCTGGGGGATAAGAAATGTGGTCCTTACAACAGGTTTTTATTCATCCATAAGGAATGACATTAGGTTGTTTACAAGAAAATTGATGCAGATAGTGATCAAATTAAGTGAAAGACGTTAGATTCAGACAAACACCATATTTTATATTCTTTGTCAAACCTAGACTTTTATAGGGCATATAAAATCATGTAGACACACAAACATACATATCCCGTGACTGTAGAAGTGTAACTGAGAGGAACTAGAAGAAGTGGGGGAGAGAGAAAGAGAGGACCAAAAGGACAAATAGAATTATATGAGATATTTATATGAGAGCGTCCTCACATAGCTGGTAAAATAGCTTAGTAAAGTACCAGAGTACTTGTCCAGAACATGTGAGGCACTAGGTTCAAATCCCAGCACTAGAAAAAAAACTTCATGAAATCCATTACTATGTACAATAAATAGATGGCATTTAAAGAGTAGGTGACTAGAAGTCTGTGTCTCCTGGCTTTCTGTTCAACTGTGTACCCTAGTAAACCAGAGGACTACCTGAGATCAATGCAATAAATACAGAATAAATAATCTATGGAATAGGCTTCAGATCACCTCACCCATTCTGCTTCTGAGCCCCTGGCAACACTGTTTTGTCTCCAATGTACTATTCCCATTCCCACTGAAAGTCCTCTATTCAGTTCCTTCCCCCTTTAACACTCCTATAAACTCTCCATTGTCATTTAAAAGCTTTAATCAGGTGTCCGTCACCGAGGAAGATCAAACCTACTAGAGAATTAATTTCATACCCAATGTAGAATTTTAAACTGTCCTTGTATCTCATACCCTATATTTATCCATCCCCTCCCTCATGGTTAGTGTCAATTGTCAAATGAGTAGGGTGTATAACCACATATGAGACAAACCTACAGAGACAGCCATATTGGGAGAGGTATTTAGCCTCTGAGCATGCCTTTAAAAGACTACGTTGCTTAGTTAGCAGAGGTGGGCAGACAGACACTGGGAGGGGCACTATCCCATGGAGGTGGGTCCATGATGGCATTTAAAAAGAGCAAGTAGTTGACCACAAGCATCCCCTGACCCCTGCTTTCTGACTATGGATGTGATATGGCTGGCTCATTAGTTTCTTGCTGCCCCAAATTCCTGGACTGTGTCTCAACTGGTACACCAAATGAGTGCTTTCTCTCTCGAGTTTTAATTTGGGGGTTGGAATTGGATCACTGAATTCTATCCCAGCAAAATAAAAGCAAAAACTTACTTCCTCTCATTTTTCTAAAGTGCTTGCTAGCTTCCCACATAGTATTTGTTTTACTTGTCTCATTTTTCTGTACCACCCCTCCCCAAAATTAGGCACTCTGCAAGTTCAGTAAAATTTCTGTTCCATGCCCGGAGATCTACACAGTAGATCTCCAACAAATATTCATTATTCAACAGACGGTCGAATAACACAACATGTAAGTAAATCATAAATGAAATGTGAAGAAACTATTATAACTCAAAAAGTAAAACAGAATTCTCTGAAGAGCAATCACAACATCTGCCCTACGCCCAGCACTCTCTACTGACCTTTAATGAGGGTGAGAAACTCCTCATGCTTGATTCGGTTCCTCTGGATGTCAATCTTGAGGGTGAGCAACAATGTGAACAGGAATTTGTGCTCCTCATATAAACCTCGGGCAGCATACTTGAAAACCTCATAGGTCATATGCTCAATGATATTAGCAATCCTCTTGCTTGTAATCGGGCTCTTGACAGACCTGAGGAAGACACCATTTAAGACAAGCTATCCCACTGCCATTTTCAATTGTCTATAAGAAACAGCATGTCCAATGGAGAATGAAGGACTAATTTTTACTTACACACATCAAGAAAGGACTCCTAAATCTAAAATAACAAAAAAAAAATGCTCTCAACATGAAACAACAAAACAGAATTCTTCATTGTTGTCTAAATCAATTTTACCCACAGGCCATTATTATTCACAACAATGTCTTGGAAATTTTCCCATTTAGTGCAACATGTGAAACCAAAGGAGACAAATCAATGGATAAGTGGCCGGCGTGGCTTCCTATGAGTCTAAAATGACAAGTCTGAATGATTTGTTAACATAGTGATAACCACACTAATCTCAGACTTAGGAAAAGAAAATACTCTTACTGAGAAACAAAAAGGAGATTCTAATGTCATCCTTAGAGTCCACAGATAAAGAATTCAGCTCTACTTCCTAGAGACAGATGTACCTGGCTAAGGAAAGGTCAAACAAGCCCAGAAACTGACGGAGTGAAGTCTGATACATCTCATTAACCAAGCGCATCTCAGTGATGAGGAAATAGAGGATGCTGCCCCGTGTAGCAACTGAAAGACAAAGATCAAGGATGCACATAGCATAAGAATAGAAAATAAATGAGCTGTACAAGCACATCACCCCAATCTATTACTGAAAACAATTTTTTGCCTCATCAGTAACTGCCTACTAACAATGAGATATAGAACAATTCATATTATTTACTTCTTATATACACGTTTTTCATAGTTTATCAAATGACACCAAGCCAGTTCTCATTTTAGACTCTTTATATGCCTATTATCAGTACAGTTTTCTATGTTTTATCAGAGAGAGGAGAGAACAGAGAACTTTGAAGGCTTTCTGTTTAACATTTAGCAAAGGATAAAGGAGGCCACACAAGACCTTATTCTGAAGCTCATGAAGAACCAAACCTATTGTTGGCATAGTTTCAACCCTTTTTCCAGGACAATGGTAAACAGCAAAAGGATAGCCAATTAAATAGTTTACATGTCTGAAGTAACCAATTAACACCTATCTATTAAACAAGAGGCTAAAAATAAGCACCAGAGAATTGGCTTCCAGGTAAACACACTGAAGCTACATGACACAGAGCTAACAGAAAGTCCACAATTACTAACTTCCCAGATTTCACTAATTTGTAGCAGTATTTTAATCTCTTGTTTTAACATAAATTCATGAGTACCTTAAAGATTTTCCAGCTACCACAGAGAGTGCCTAAAGTTTATACCATTGAATAATGTTTCCATTTCTGATACACTAAACTTCTCAAAAGAAATGGCAGAAAGCATAATTGGCTGCCTCACATTGTACAGTAATTTATATAATGCCCTTCCTGTAATCGGTTGCTCTAATTCTCACTTCTGCCTTGTTCCATTTTCTTGTGACATTTGTCTTCCATTACTGGACTCACCGGGTCGGTACTCCTCCCGGGCTGAGTTAATTTGAATTTCTGTCTCCACAGAAATTTCCAGCTTCTGTGTCACCTCCTCGGCTGTCTTTTTGGTGTTGCTCAGCACAACAATGAGACTCTCATCCTCCACCAGGGACCCTTGAGTGCTCGTCAGGCGATAAAGCAAATTATCCTCCAGCTCCTTCATCCTTCTTTTGTTTGCGGTTACATCTTCCATGAGATGAGTTCGTTCTTTCTCAAGTTCCTGTTAATTTACAAAAATATATTTTCATCATAACTGAATCTCTATTTTGAGGGCATTCCTTAAAATGTGGACCTCTCTATCTGCTGCCGGGCATCAGCAATTTACTGTGTCTATTATCCTTGGCTGAAAAAAAAAAAAAAACATGTACATCAAAAAGCAGAGAAAATAGGCAGAAGACAACATCCAGTGTATTCAAAATTATTATATATTTATTTATATTTTATATACAATATATATGCATATACTACCAATACCTCTATTCTTGTTTCTATATTCTCTAAGTCATCATTTTAGTGATTTTGTGATTATATGCAGAGAGAGGTCAAATTTGAAGACAGACATACAAATCTCTAATTAAATGTGATTAGTTAGTTTCCCTGAAAGAGTTCTGCTGTTTTAGTAAGATCATCTCTACCTTGTAGGTTGAAATGGTACTATCCTCTCAGAGAAGCCACTCTCTGTAATTGGGCATCTAAGCTGTCTCCAGGAGTACATTTAAAATGAAGAATCTCAACAGTCCATCACGGTATTATATGCCTGTACTCCCAGCACTCAGGGGCCTGAGGCAGGAGAATTACAAGTTCAATGCTGACCTGAACTACATAGCAAGAATCTTTCTGAAAAGCATACCAAAACCATTTTCTTTTCATTTGAAAATTTTTCTTGACCTGAAAACAAACATACACTATAATGTTGGATGGGGTCATCAATGGGTAGCATGTTTGCCTAAAATGCATGAAGTCCTGGGTTCAAACCCCAGCACCCTCAAAACCAGGTATAGGTGCAAACCTAATCCCAGAACTCAGGAGGGGAGGCAAAGGGTCCAAAGTTCAAGGTCATCCTCACACAGCAAGTTTGAAGCCAGACTGTGATACTAAAAACCTTGTTTTAAAATAGATCTACATGAATACACACACATATATGTATGTATATATATATATATATATACATACATACACACAAGCACACACACACTA